GCTTGTGAAATTTCTGGCGGCCGGAAAAACTCCAAACCGCCGGCCCAAACTCCTAACTTAGGTAAAACACCTAATTTGGAACCACTTTTGTTTTTGGACCTACCCCAAAAAGTGGCCGGAAGTGGCCGGAATCGTACCCTCAAAACCAGCTGAAACTTAAGTTGAAAATCGAACGATCTACATTTAAAATTTCTGAAATCCTACCCAACCAGCAGCTAAGTTACGAAAATTAGCTGGAAAACCATACCTCACTCGTCCGATTTGGTGGAGAATCGAGGGAGAACGAGCGATGAGAAAATCTGTCAAAACCGACGCGATTTTCTGTGTTTTTCGGTGGCTGTTGGCGGTGGTGATGGCTGAGCTTGGTTGGACTTGGAAGAGGGCCGGAGTGGAGGGTGGCGGTAGTTATGGAGGAGAGAAGGTGACGGTTCATAACAGGGAAGGGGCTGTGGTCGCGAGGAAGAAGAGTGAGGAAAGAGAGAGAAAATCAGTTTTTAAAAATCCTGATTTCCAAAATTACCATTTTGCCCCTTGAAGTATTTTGACCGTATTTTCTTCGTTATTACTGCAAATCGAGCCCACTACGTGTCTACGGACTCGTTTCGTCGCACTCTATGCAACGGTGTAAACAAAATTTCCAAATTTGTCTTCGATTAAAAAGTCAACTTTTCCTTAATAACTTAGTCCAAGGGCAAAATTGTCATTTCTCCTTAATAAATGAATAGTTAAATATTAATTAAGATTTGGGTTATTACAATCTCCCCCCTTATAAAAATTTCGTCCCCGAAATTTACGTACCTGTCACTCGAAGAGGTAAGGGTTCTATTCCCGCATTTGGTCCTCGGGTTCCCAAGTAGCTTCTTGCACAGTATGGCTTCTCCACAAGACCTTCACAAGAGGGATCTCTCTTGATCATAACACTTGCGTCTTCCAATCCAAAATATGAACTGGTTGCTCCACATAAGTCAAATCTTCTTGCAACTCTACTGGTTGTTCTTCCAAGACATGAGAAGGATCAGACATATACTTTCGGAGCATTGAAACATGAAACACATTGTGTAACCGGGAAAGATCTGAAGGCAAAGCAAGCCTGTAAGCTACTGGGCTGGCACGCTCCACGATCTTATAAGGCCCAATATAGCTAGGACTTAGTTTTCCCCGCCTTCCAAATCTCATTATGCCATTCCAAGGTGATAACTTTAGAAATACCCAATCACCAACCTCAAACTGAAGGTCTTTCCTTCTATTGTCCGCATAACTCTTCTGTCGGTCTTGGGCTAACTTGAGTCGTTCTCTAATTATTTTCACCTGTTCCTTTGTCCGTTCAACATTATCGGACACCTCCAATCTGTTCTCACCCACTTCATCCCAATAGAATGGAGTTCTACACTGTTTCCCATACAAAGCATCATATGGAGACATCTTAATACTCGCCTGGTAACTGTTATTATAGGCAAATTCCATAAGTGGCAACTTCTCATCCCAGTCACCCCGGAACTGCAATGCATAAGCTCTCAGCATGTCTTCTAAAGTCTGGATTATCCTCTCAGATTGACCATCTGTCTGGGGTTGAAATACAGTACTAAACCGTAATTGAGTTCCAAAAGCTTCATTTAACCTTGCCCAAAAACGGGAAGTAAACCGTGGATCTCTATCTGAAATAATAGATACTGGCACCCATGTCTCTTGGGTTGGCCTAACGGCACTCTAGGATTCCCTGGAGATATTACTGTCACTGCCGGAAGAGATGAAGACTCGGCAGGTATGTCGCCCCGACCGAAAGTGGAAGCCTCCGAGTGGTAGCTAGCATGCCGATCAGGCAAGCGTGTATCACCCATCAAAAACTCACAGTACTCACTGGTGCTGGCTCAAGCTCTACCACACGGCACCACAGCTAAGGGAACCGCCTGGGTCGGCTGTTGAACTTTTACCCTACCGAAAGGTGGTGGGGCCTTAATCTTCTCACTGATGACTTCTATTTCGGCATCTTCACTATCGGCACTCTTGAACTCAGTGCCACACTACCAGAGTCCCGTTGATCATCCGAGGACTCGCCATCGAATGCATTGGGCTCGGTATCATACGCAGACTTGTTATCGGACATCTACAAACAACAAAGGGAAACTAAATGCCATGCGCAAGGATTAAACTAAGGGTTCCTATGGCCGTCACTACCTACGGTAGCTAGACTACCGAACGTTCCTCAATTTCATGTATGTTCATAGTCTAGACTAGCCATAAGGACACTTTTGAATCGAAAAAGTATGCAAAAGGACAGAAATACCTCGTTTGTACAGTGCCAAAAGTAGCCGAAAATCGCCTTCATTGCTGAAAGTAAGTTCACCAGAAATCGCCTTTAGAGGAAGCTCTCGAAACCGCTCTCACAATGCAAGTGACTCCCTCATCTGGAGTCACTCCTATTTATAGAAGGGGAAGTCGAACGACACGCCTCGTAAACCCAACCTGCGCCATCATTGCACTACAAACGCCGGCGTCACTTGACACGTGGCATCAACCCAACGTGAGAGGCGTTTGCGAGCTAGGGACAGAAGACGAGGGGTCTGCACAGGAAACGAAGCATCGTTTCGATCCAAAGCAACTCCACCCCGCTTCCGAGGCTCTGACACGACCTGTACACCACCGTTCGGGAATTTAAAAATTACTGAACGGCATCACAATAATAAATGATGCTTGGAATACCCCGACACGCTGAACCAAAAGACCGTACTCACGAAAGGGAGCTCTATCACCCTACTCCAACCTACACACCAAACAGTACGGCCACCCATATATGGAACACCAACCACTGCCGATAACTCACAAAAAACCAAGGGCCGACGCAAGTTCCTATCGAGAACATATCCTCAAACAGAAACTTGGGGGACTCCTGTTTATTCCCAAATTAGCGGCTAGTGAAGGTTGAACACGTGTACAATACAGTCAACAGTTTAGGGACGCCCTCAGTAACCAAGCATGCCGATGGCTATGTTATAGCACAAACACTACCTGGACACGTGGTATCCCCGCAATGAATGTCTACAGTTCCACATCAAAATTCTACACGACTTGCACACCTCCCAAGGTTTATAAAAGAGTCACTACAATTCCCCAAAATAGAGGTAATCAGAGCTTACGGTATATTGCCTATCGATCTGTCAGTTCAAGTTTACTAAATCCGTACTTACTCAAGCATCGGAGAGCTTTCGGCCGGTACCACACCGGTGGCTTAGGTTTTACCGAACGTTTGTTATCTTGCAGATCACGCGCTTTACCGAGGCCCAAAGCATACCGAAGGCCCAACATTACTAAATTGAGCAAGAAATGTCCCAAACCATTTTTTTGCATCAACAGTGCTTACTAGAATTAATTACTCAATCATAGGTTATCTTGGAAATAAAAATATGTTTCTTCTTATATACTCATGCAAATAATTGCCATAATTAAAAAACCATCAAACCCCCTCGTATCGTCGAGGTTCATAAAGAAAAAACATAAAACTATACTATTTAAACAATCATAGAAAATTAAGAAACCAAAAAGGACTATGGCCTATGGCCATCAGAGGCCATCCAAATCCAGTAAGGAACAATAGCAGACCTTGTAGGTTTTGCACTCTGATGTTTCTTTTCAAAGAAAAGTTTGAGTGTAGTGTAGGAGCTCTGCATGGCCACGCATCTCCAAACCCTTCCGCTGCGCAACAGTTGGATCATTGTATCATCTCTTATTTTCACATTTTGTATTACATATATTAACAAAATCACCTAACTCAGAACGGGTGAGTAATTAATCTGGAAACTCCAGCCTGGTTATTTAGTAAAGCTCCCTCCCTTCCTTTCTCTTATTTATTTTTACCAAAACTTATACCAGGGCTTCTTGCTCGTGACTTCCTTGCACTCGAGCTGCCTGCTTCGTCTTTCCTCAAGCCATCGCCTGCTTCGTCTTTCCTCGACCCACAGCCTGCGTTGCCTTTGCTGGGGGAAATTTGGGATTTTCTATAGTTAATGTCACATCTAAAAAACTAGGCACGTAATAGTGCCACGCCTTATTAACACTACGTTCTCAATAGCAAGGTCTAAAATATTGAGGGTTTCGGAAATATCGGTGGTCCAAAACACGGATATATCGATGGAAAATCACCCCTGATTTTTTTTAGAAAATTAAGCATCATGATGATTTAATTTAGCCAATATCCCCTCATCATCAACTTGCTCCACATTTCATCTAATTTTCCGTCAAACAAGGGTCACATGCATAACACTTGACTCTCTTGGATGGACTTGGACACTAATAAGGCGGCTAAAAATTGAGGAACAAACTCTTGGCATCAAATATTAGCCAGGGGAAGAAAATTGCGCATTGCTTGGGACATTCTATAGGATTGAAGTTAACGTATAACGTATTCTTCAAGAGGAAACAGTTGATTGTACATCAAAACTTCTGACGTTCTGAAGTTCTGATGCCCTTGTCCAACATTGATTGGGTTGGGAACTGGGGGAGTTTGGAAATTAGGGCTTCAAACCGTATTGAGTATTTTCCTTTTTCATTTTGCCGGGCTGGGAAAGCCCACTTTGCAATGCATGACTGAGTTATTAGCAGTTTCCTTAACATGAATTTATATATATATATATATATATATAAATGCTTTTAATGCAATTATATTTGATACAGTTTACATGTCATTTTAAAAACCCTAATTAACATGCATGGGCATGCGAAGGATGTGAACATGAAAGTCCGTTGTTTCTCAAAGTCCACAAGGTTGGAAGAATCCCTACTTCATGTTTTTCTTTTTCTTTTCGTTTTGGTCATTAAGATCCCCAGGTTAATTAGCAACAGATTAATTTCATAATATTCTTCGGTGGCACTATGAATTCCTAATATTCCTGGTATATAGATTAATTTCATACTGGCAGACAAAAGCACATCCCCAATTAATTATTTAATATTTTGTTTTTGAGCCTGTCATAAAACACAAACAGGAACAGTGGAGAAAATAAGAATATGTTAAACTCAAGTCACTGGCATGGTTTTACTCATGTCTGCTAACCATAATCGTAAAATGTTAATACAAATTAATACAGAGGAGTTCGACAAGTAACATCAAACTCTTACAGTATACCTCCACTCATAACCACATAGGGCCAAAGAAATTCTGGAATAAATACCAAAAGCCTACTAAACCCAACCATCCATATATGCTAGCAGTCTTGCAGTTGTATCTGATGTTGCCAAAGTTTTGTAACCCAACATTTGTAGATTTACATGCGCTAATTTTATTATTACAAATGTTGTGACTGATACCTTTGAGTTTGGCGAAGCCATTGTTTCCTTGACGGCCACCTTGGCCTCGGCCGGCATTGCTCCAGACATCTACGTTGTGAAAGTTGAACATCCCAACATATGAGGCTCCATTGCTTGCTGTAATTGTATTTCTGCGAATATTGGCTTGGCTGGTGCTGCCGTCATCTTCTGTACTAGTTGTCTTCAAGTTGTATTCGATGTTGCCGAAGTTGTGAAACCTTTTCCTATCTCCATCTCCTTTAATGTTATTGCCACGAATGTTGTAAACATCACCTTTGGGTTTGTTTCCTCCACCGCCACCTTGGCCTTGGGCAGAGCTCGAGCCACCTGCTGATTTGCCATGATCTTTAGTATATTTGCTGTTGCCAAAGTTTTCTAACCCAACTTTTGTGGAACTATCTGCACTAATGTTATTATTATAAATGTTGTGACAAATACCCTTGGATTTGAGGCCCTTGTTTCCTTCACGTCCACCTTGACCTTGGCCGGCATTGCTCCCGTAGACACCTACGTTGTGAAAGCTGAACATCCCAACATCTGACTCTCCATTGAGTGCGGTAATTGTATTATCACTAATATTGTATTTGATGTTGCCCAAGTTCTGACCGTCACCTTCCAGTTTCGTTCCTCCACTGGAACCTTGGCCTTCGGCAGTGTTGCTCCAGTGGACATCAGAGGTGCGAGAGGCGAAGATCCCAGCATCAGCACCATTGGATTTGATGATTTCATTTCCAGGATATTTGCTGCTGCCGTCGTCTTCTTCCATATTACTGGCTGGAGCTTTGGAATGATGCTTTTTTTTTGCACGCAACATGTACACAAACAGGGTAAATTTGTATCATAATTCTATTTCAATTCTACAAGATCAGAAACGATATACACATTTGAATTACAAACAAATTGTACAAAGCAGGAATCAGATTCAACAAGGACTCAAAGAAGTCAACTACAACTCAGCCAAAAACAAAACAGGTTGTAAGGCATACAATGCCACGTGTAATGATCCTAGTAGATAGCTAGATATATGGCTGAGATCGTTTTGTGATGAGGGATCCAGCTAAGAGTGCTAACGGTAATATGCCTCGAGGTTATATAGATATGAAGAGAAAAAATTCCTCTGTGGTATTCTGCAGAGTAGTGAGAGAACAATCCATTCTCCCTGTATTTTCGTTTCCTTTCTTTTTCTTTCTTCGTCATCTTTCTCATATATGATTTGAGATTCCATAGAAACCAGAAAACACAAGAGACACTAACATGGCCTTAGAGCCAGGTTCGATCATCTGAATCTGGGCGTTTGAACTGTGAAATCGATCAGAGTCATATCGAAGCTCTCTCAAGGTTCCGTAAAGGTTGCTGGAGCTCGATTTTTGACCTGAAACAACTTGTTTTTGGTCTATCTGAGATCAGAAATGGCTGGAACTGGAAGTTCAGAAGTGAAAACTTTGATCTTCTCCGGTGAGAACTACGAGTTCTAGAGAATCAAGATGGTAACCATATTCAAGTCGTATGGGTTATGGAATCTGGTGGAAAAGGGAATTACGATTCTTGATTCGAAGAAGAAAAAGAAAGCTGAGGAAAATTCAGAAGATGAAGATGACGAGAAAATGGCTGCAATCTTCATGAATGATGCAAAAGCTCTGGGTATCATACAAAATGCAGTTTCCTATCAAATCTTCCCTCGTATCGCCAACGTAGACTCAGTTAAAATGGCATGGAGCTGTTGTATGGAGAGTATCATGGTGGTGACCACGTTAGATCAGTACAACTTCAAAATCTCAAATGTGAATTTGAATACACTAGAATGCGTGATAATGAGTCTCTATCTGATTATCTCACACGATTGAATGAGTTGATTAATCAGATGAAAACATTCGGTGAGACTCCCTCGAATGAGAGGCTTGTTCGAAAGGTCTTGATTAGTCTCAGTAAAGTATATGATACTATATGTCTTGTGATTGAAAACACAAAGAGACTAGAGATTGTAGAATTGCAGGAAGTGATTGCTATTTTGAAAAGCCAAGAACAATGGTTCGATTTGCATAGTGTTGATACAGCTGAGAAAGAATTTGCCTCATTCTCTGTGAGTCCAAAAGGCTAGAACAAAGGGTAAACAATGGGAATTAAAATCCAAGTTTCAGCATAATAGCTTTGCACAAAACTTGAACTCATCACAGTCAATAAGTCAGGAAGCTATAAAACTACAATGTAAATTGGGCTCCAAGTTTCATTTTGGTGAGTCCAGATATAAGGGGAAGCCTAAGTGCTATAACTGTGATAGATTTGGTCACTTGGCTAGAGAATGTACTGCAGGTAAGACAGTCCCAAGAAAAACTCTGCTAACCAAATGGAGGTGGCAGGGAATCTATTCTTTGCAAATAGTACAATTACCGAGGGAAAGATAAATGGAGAGTGGTACATTGATAGTGGTTGTAGCACACGACTAGAAATGTGGATCTTCTTGTTGATATAAGGACAAATGTTGCAGAAAAGGTTCAAATGCCAACAGGTGCACTTGTGGATGTAGCTTATATGGGTTCGCTCGTTATAGACACAAATAGAGGTAGAAAATTCATCAGAGAAGTGATGTATCTTCCAGGTTTGTGATGTATCTTCCAGGTTTGAAGGAGAATTTACTAAATGTTAGGCAAAGGGATGAACATGAGTATTTCTTACTGTTTGGAGGAGGAATATGCAATGTTTTTGAGTTCATCACTGGGTTGTCTTATCATCAGAGTTCAAATGAAGAAGAATAGATGTTATCCTCCATCTCTACTTACTAAGTATCAAATAGCATTGAAGACAAGCATTGCTCACTGCACCTAGACTTGGCATAGAAGGCTAGGTCACTTGCATTTTAGAGGACTTAAGCAATTATGAGACGAGGATATGGTGCATGGTTTACCACATCTGGAAGAGCACAATGGTGTGTGTGAGGTTTGTTAATATGGAAAACAACACAGAGATGAGTTTCCAAAAGATCAAGCACTGAGAGCCAATCCTCCTCTTGAGCTAATTCATGTTGATTTGTGTGGTCATGAGAAATGAGTCCATTGTAGGAAACAAGTATTTCATGCTACTCATTGATGAATTCACAACAATGACATAGGTGTATTTTCTAAGGTATAAGTCTGATGCCTTCAACTGTTTCAAAAAGTTTAAGTCTATGACAAAGTTGCAGTGTGGGTACAAAGTGAAGTGTTTAAGAAGTGACAGAGGAGGAGAGTTTTTGTCCTTTGAGTTCATACAATTATGTGAAAATGAAGGCATTCAAAGACAACTCACACTAGCTTACACTCCTCAACAGAATGGAGTAGTGGAGACAAAGAATAGAACAGTGATTGAAATGGCAAAATCCATGTTTCCTGATAGAAGGATGCCTTACTACCTTTGGGCAGAAGCTATTCACACAACTGTGTATATTCTGAATAGATGCCCTACAAAGTCTTTAAACAACATCATACCTTTTGAAGCTTATAGTGGAAGAAAACCAAGTATTGCTCATTTGAGTATATTTGGTTCTCTATGCTACTATGTTCATGTTCCATTAGAACTGAGGCACAAACTTGAACCTAAAAGTGTTAAGGGAGTGTTTGTTGGTTATGAAACTTGTAAGAAAGGCTATAGAATATTTGATCCAATCTCTAAGAAACTTTTCTTGTCAAGAGACATTATCTTTGATGAAGAGGCATCTTGGAATTGGAAAGAGAATTCTAAGCAATATGTGGCATCACTTAATGGTGAAGGTCAAAGCAATGGTAGTCTCAGAATTAAAGGTGGTGAAAGTGAGGCTACTTCACCAACATCTCAGTCATCATCTCCACATGAAAGCAGTCATTCGACAAATGACTCAGGTTTCTTGACTACTTAATCATCATCATGAGAATCTTCAGATAACATAAGCAGAGATGAGAGAAATACTTAAGCTTATGATCCCTCACCATTGAAGTGGAGAAAACTAGATGATGTCCTTGCTCAATCTAATTTGTGTGGAGCCAGAGAAATATGTAGAGGCAGCCCAAGATGAATCTTGGTTGAAAGCAATGCAGGATGAGTTGTTCATGATTGAAAAGAATGACATGTGGGAGTTAGTAGATAGACCATTTGAGAAGCTAGTTATTAGAGTCAAGTGGGTATACAAAACCAAACTAAATCTTGATGGTTCAGTTCAAAAGAATAAAGCAAGGTTAGTTGTCGAAGGGTATGCTCAAAAACCTGGATTGGACTACGATGAGACTTATGCTCCAGTGGCTAGATTGGACACTATCAAAACTCTCATTGCCTTGGGAGCATAGAAGAAATGGAAATTATACCAGCTCGATGTAAAGTCAGCATTCTTAAATGAGGTATTACAGGAAGAGGTCTATGTAGATCAACCAGAAGGTTTTGTGATCAAAGGCAAGGGAGACAAGGTTTATAGGTTTCATAAGGCTCTTTATGAGTTGAAAAGGCCCCTAGAGCCTGGTATGGAGAAATAGATGCCTACTTCTCTCAGTGTGGTTTTGAAAAGAGCTTAAGTGAAGCAACTCTATATATCAAGACAAGGGTAGACAAAGACATTCTAATTGTATCCATTTATGCGGATGACATTGTGTACACTAGCAGTAGCAAATAAATGTTGGAAGAATTTAAAAAGGACATGATGATGAAGTATGAGATGACTGATTTGGGCCTTCTTCATCATTTCCTTGGAATGGGTGTAATTCAAACAAACTCAAGCATTTTCATTCATCAAAAGAAATATGCAGATTCCTTACTAAATAAGTTTGGTTTAAATGAGTGCAAGACTGTGACCACACCTCTTGTGGCAACTAAGAAGTTGACTAAAGATGATGGAAGTGGAGCTGCAAGTGAAGAACAATACAGAAGCATCGTGGGTAGTCTTATGTATCTCATAGCCACTAGACCTGATATTATGTATGCTTCTAGTCTTCTTGCTAGGTTCATGCATTGTCCTACTAGCAAGCACTATGGAACTGCCAAAAGAGTGCGTAGGTACATCAAGGGGTGGACTATGGTTTAGCGTATGTGAAAGGCAAGAATGCAATGTTGATTGGTTTATGTGACAGTGACTGGGGAGGATCACTTGATGACAGTAAAAGCACATCTAGATATGCATTCTCTTTCAGAAGTGGTGTCTTCTCTTGGGCTTTAGTCAAGCAAAACTATGTGGCACTGTCTACTATAGACGTAGTGTACATAAGTGCATCTGAAGCCACTGCACAAGCAATTTGGCTCAGGTTTGTCCTAGAAGATTTTGGAGAACTTCAAACTGAAGCAACTCCATTGCAGTGTGATAGCATCCCTGCAATTGCAATCACCAAGAACCCTGTGTTTCATCATAAGACAAAGCACATTGATAAGAGGTATCATTTCATTAAAGATGCATTGCAGGAGGGTATTATTGATTTGGTGTATGGTCCTACAAATGAGCAGCTAGCGGACATTTTCACAAAGCCATTAGCTAAGGATCGATTCAACTACCTCATAAATATGCTTGGAGTGAAGTCAGCTTAAGACTTAAAGGGGAGTGTTAAATTATAAGTCTCTAGCTGATTAGGATTAGTTAAATAAGATTGTAAGGCATACAATGCCACGTGTAATGATCCTGGTAGATAGCTAGATGTATGGCTGAGATCGTTTTGTGATGTAAGGGATCCAGCTAAGAGTGCTAACGGTAATATGCCTTACACTATGCGTGTGAGGTTATATAGATATGAAGAGAAAAAAATTCCTTTCTGGTGTTCTGCAGAGCAGTGAGAGAACAATCCATTCTCTCTGTAATTTTCGTTTCCTTTCTTCATCATCTTTCTCATATATGCTTTGAGATTCCATAGAAACCAGAAAACACAAGAAACACTGACAATATTTGGCTTCAAAATGAACATGCCATCCTTGTTCTTTTGAAGAATTATCAGACCCATCCATGTGCCAAAAATTGATCACTTCAAGCAAAACCATACTTGGTTTGAGCAATTCAGAGTAGCCTGATTGAGCATGCCTATCGCTTCAAACCACGTACGTAATCTAAAAAGAATCTACTCTAAATGCTAATCTGGCTGACGTTAGTATTGTTCTCTCACCCTCTCTTTAGATGCTGTGCTTCTAAATCCCCAAACCCTAAAAATTTTCAGTTACCACCGAAGCCCTAAATTTGTACAAAGTACACCGAAACCTTGAAAGCCATAATAAAACACAGAATAAAAATAACAAAAAATAACAAGAAAAATCGAAATAGGTAATAAACTAAAAAATGAAACAATTAATTAGAAGAAAATAATTGGAAAGGCATACCAACTGTGTGTAGTTTTGATTCGAGTAACAAAGCAGAAAATGTCTCTGAGGTGTTGGGTCTGAACTGAGAGAAGTTGATGACTGTGAGGTGGAACAAAGAGTGAGAGCAGATCTAGAGTAGATGATGAGATGATGGCAATAGAGGAAAAGTAGTTGATGACTGTTAGGTGGAGTGGAGGTTTACTAAAGATAATAGAGGAAAAGTGGAAAGGGCAAAACAACCACAATTAATTAATGAAATTATGAATTTAAGCCTGCAAAAGTCTTGAAAGATAAAAGCGTTTTCAAGTAGTAGGCAGCGGAGCCCATCACAATCATTGCTGGCAATTCTTCTCGGAAGATTATAATCTCCCATATTAAGAAAAGATCCTTGCATCTTAAATACACACACAAAACATGTTTGATGATTTGAACTGGATTAAATTATGTGGTAGAATTAGATTGGATTGAATTATATTGGATTGGAGAAGATAACACTATCATATAATGTATTTGGTACGTACTACACATGATTCAGCGGTTAGATTAATTGAAATGTACAATTACATGGCCTAGTAGAAATACATATAATCCAATCAACTCTATGGTAGAATTCATAATCTTACTACATTTAAGCCTAGTAGGATTATGCATTATCCAATTCATATTGTTTTTAGGTCACCAAACACTTGAGTATAATTATGAATCCTATTCAACTATATAATCCAGCTCTTCAAACGTGTATAGTCATAGAAGAACGAATGTCCCAACATACTCGTATGGTCAACAAGAGCATTATTACATAAAAAAGAGGCCTACAAGCCTGGGTCATTGATGGGGATTATGTTTTAAGAAGGCTTAATCGGAGTGGCTCTGAAGTACCCTCAACCTTCATTATGGTGCCTCAGTTCAACTGAAGAAAATTCCATCAGAGTCAAATGAATGAAACTAATAAATAAATAATGAATGGCAATGACAACGGCTTTTAATTTTACCCACTACATATCCAACAAGAAGATGACCTACCCTGTTTCACAGATGCCCAGTTGGCTTCTAAACAAAGACCTCCTTTGTTTAATTTTTAGCCAGTCCATTTGTTCATATATAAAATATATAAATATGAACAATTTTATATTAACTTTCCATTTGATCTGTACACTAGCCGCCAACATATTCCTGGCTGGTCACTTGCAAAATTTTTATATTGAATGTCGTGACCACCATCTTGGGCCGTCTTTATCCTCTGTCTTCACATCTCATGTCAATCCACGACCCTAGTGACAATCCTTGTGTGCTTCGTTATTTAGTGCTCTATTGATAATGGAGGTCTCTGTTTATTTAATTAGGGTCATTTTTTATTATGATTTTGTTGAATTTGGGACCTATTTCATCGTTCGAAGGAATATACAACTGGACCTTAAGGGCATATTTACTAACCATGAATCGGAGTGATCTAGGGCTAATTTTTGGACAGATCAGATCGGAATAAGGGGATTCCAATTCCATTCCAAAAAATAATAATTTGGAATGAAAATTCTTTTCCAATTATGTTCCAAAAATTTCATAATTTCAACATCCATTCAAATTCCGAACTTATATATTTCGAAATTCTTTTGGAAAATTTTGAAAAATCATTGGAAGTTTTAAACATGTCTAATGATTTGAATAGTTAAAGTTGGCTCAAAATTAAAAACTCATCTGAAAAAGCTCAAAAAACTATTATATGATATAATTTATATGTCGTTATCTTTTATGAAATAGCTTGTCTGTCTATGTCTATTTTGGTCATTAAGTCATATCAAATTCAACATGAAACAAGTCATTCTGTACAAGCTTGAACCCCTAATATATTTCAGAATTCAGAAATGTTTGATTACTGAAATGCCCTTGAAGAAAGTATAGTTTATTTTATTTTTTCAAAACCTACTACTACAACTTTTCAAGTGGAAATAATTATTTCATTGATAGTAAAAGTAAAGTCTAACCACCTTAATATTCTATAAAAATATTTTTTATACTTATATGATATGTATTAAAATAAAAATTCATTATTAAACTATTATAAGGCTGCATGGTGGGGGAAGCTGTGTGCTACAAGAAGATGAGAGTGGGTGAGGTGGTCGGCTAGTAAAATATGAGAGGGTGGGGAAGGTGGTATGAAGATGAGAGAGTGGGTGAGGGTGGATCAGGTATTGCTACCCTACCATTATTAATTTATAATTTTTAAAATGTAGACATTCTATAATTTGAGGAATTTTGAACTTCAGCAATGGTGAGATGCTCAGAAGAACCTTATTGCCTGGCATCATTGCATATATGCGTGCGATCAAGCAGTAAAATTAAGGGAATTAACTAAAGCTGAACTTGGGGAGGAGCATTAACATTAACCATCAACATAATATATAATTTATTTTCTTATCAAATTAATTTTACATATAACTTAAGTAAGATGGATGGAGGGGAGGCCCTAGCTAGCTACAGACCTCAGTGAGCCATCAGTTCTGCTTCGTCTTCATCAGTACTGGATGCCGAGTCAGTTTCTCCACCGGAGTCGACTAGTTTTTCTTTCCCGTGGCCTTTTTAGATGTGGGTGTTGCCAAACTCGAAAATTCCTACTCTCTCCGATTTTATCCCCGTAATATTATTCCCAACGATGTTGAAGTCATTGCCTCTTCCGCCCTTGTCTTTTTTCTTGGGTTGGATAGTTTTGGTGTTCACAGATGGGGATTTCGAGCTGTTGCTGTTTTGTTGGTCGGTGCTCGCCTTCGAAGGATCCTCAGAACCTTGTTTCTGATCACCAAGTGGAGGCTTCAGATATAGCCTGCCGGTAGACATTTACACTGCCTGGGATCCTTTGTCTGGAGGTATCAATAATTGGCTGCGTTGTGCCAGAAAAAGTTACTATAGTTTCTAATCGTAAGGGAAGCCAAACAAAACTCTTTTTGTTTATATATATATAGACAATATGTGAGAAAATAATGAATCAAGCTCTCTTTCGGTTACAGTAGATACGTAAGATGAAAATTGGAAAGAAATGTTTACCCAGTGGGTCGGAGTTGTTAGGAGGTCAGACCGGTGGTTAGCTTAGCTGTCAGTTGTTAGCACAGTTACTTACTCATTAAGCAAAGAAATATATATAATGGCTCCTATCGCAACCATGGATGCAAGCTGAAAAATATCTTCATGCAAGATGAAGGTATCACGCTCAAACCCAAACACTTTCTCTGCCATTGTAATTCTCAAGGTTTGGCCCAAAGCCGTCAATGTCATCTCACCATATTGGCAAAGGTCTAACAAAGGAGGTGGCAAGTCTAGCGTTGAGAAATCTTGTTTCAAGAAATGAAGAAAGATATATAAGATGGCTTGTACAAAAGTAAAATAAACGACAGTAATTAAACCATCCAAACCGTCGTGGTATTTAAATCCAAATAACGGTTCCTTGAAAAAATTGACGTAGTAAAGAATGGAGACGATGGTAAATAAAAAACAGTCGTTCAGTACGAGTTCTAACATCGCAATGCAAAAAACAGTCGTCTAAATAAAATGCAAAATGCAGTGAAGATAGCTTGTAAGACAAGTAAAACAAAACTATCATCTAACTCAACCATCAAAAGCAACGTGGTATTTCACTCACAACGACGATTCTATGACAAAACCAACGTGTTATGAAATTTCAAACGGCAGTGAATATGTATCTTCTTCCTCCAAAACAAAGGGTCTCACATTCGTGGTATCTGAGCAGCTTGCTTTGTTAGGCGGATCTATTAAGGCGCAAGGAGGTGCAGATGCACCTCCTTTCGCCGGAAAAACTATTGTATGTGCTTCAAATTGCCCCTTTGCTCAACTGGTGTACAGATTACCTTATTTCCATTTTCAACATTTAAGTAAATGTCTTTGTCTTTTTACTTTTATTTATTTTTATATTACTCCATTTACTTAAGTTTACAATGTAAATAAGGAAGTACCCCCCATTTGGATTCAAATAAAAATACTAGAAAATCAAATTCCCACCAAATCAAAATATGAAAATTCGGTTTTAGTGCAAAATACAATTTAAGCTAAAAATGATGGCTCATTAAGTCAATATATACTTCATACTAAAATCCCATAAATTCAAGTTTTCTTATTTGATGTATAAGGAATAAAAGCCGCCAAAAATTATCTTGAGAAAATGATTATTCCGAAAAACCATTTTCATACTTAGTCAATATTGCACCTCCGCTCAAAAATTTCTGGGTCCGCCAGTGTGTGTGTGTGTGTGTGTGTGTGTGTGAGAGAGAGAGAAAGAGAGAGAAAGAGAGTAAATTAAGATAACTTGTAAAACAGATAAAATAAAAAACGACCCTAAATCAAATATCTAAACCGTCGTGGTATTTCACTGAAGACGATGTTGTCATGAGAAATTGACGCAGTATGGAATTTCAAACGGCAGTAAACTAATACCATCGTTATGTAGGAATTCTAACGTCAATAGGCGAAAAAACTGTTGTATAATTCAAATTCAAAGATTTAAAAAGTTCACAGAAAATAAGCATTCTTTACCAGAAATATAGTAAAAACCAATTGCAGAGAGAGAGAGAGAGAGAGAGAGAGAGTAAATAAAGATAGCTTGTAAAACTTTTTAAATAAAACAACTAACTCAAAAATATAACTTGTCGTGGTAATTCAATCCAAACGTCAATTTCTTGAAAAAACCGACGTACTATGTATTTTCAAACAAAGATAAATAAAAAAGGTCATTTTGTGTCATTTCTAACGACATTTAGAAAAACAAATGGCATCAAATGAAATTAAAATTCTATGTTTTTCAAATTTAAAACAGAGTGAGTGAGGCTTATGATTAATTTTGCTTTCTTTGCAACCTTTGGATCGGGGATGTTTTCCTGTTTATCTTTACTACCCTTCCTCCATAATAGAGAACGATCAATTTCCTCATTGGGCATGTTTTCTTCCAATTGGTCCTCCAAATCAACATACCCTTTTCGAGACAACCTATAGTTGTACTCACATTTTTCCCTTCTTTGTGACTGTTCAGTATGCATAGCCAGAAATTCTGGGGATAACCTTGACACTACAAAGGCATCCCAATCCGATTTCTCTATGAATTTATATAGCTGAGGGGGGTTCTTTTAACTTGTCCTTGTCATTTGTTAAGGTAGACT